GAGTAGCTGAAGCTGCTAAAGAAGTATTATGGCTTGTTGGGCTAGTAAAAGAACTGGGCGTTGAGCAAGGTGGAGTTCAGTTGCATTGTGACATTCAGAGTGCTATTTATCTGGCTAAGAACCAGGTGTACCATGCGAGAACCAAGCACATTGATGTCAGGTATCACAAGATCAGAGAGTTGATTGTTTCTGAGGAGGTACTGTTGCAGAAGGTTCATACTGATGAGAATGCAGCTGATATGTTGACAAAGTCAGTTACTATCAACAAATTCTTGCATTGCTTGGACTTGTTGAATGTTTGCAGTTGCTAGAGAAGCATGGTGGCCCAACTCACAGTGGTGCAGGTGTAACTCCCAGGTATTTTTTCTCCTAAGGGGTTAGATATTCGCCAAGGTGAAGATTTGTTATGGTATGACTCATATACCAAATAGAGACAGACGTTGGATCGGAGCGGAGCGAAAAAATCTGTTCAAATTGAGAAGTTATGTGGGTTAGGGTGCGGGGGCAAAGCCCCGCGGTATGGTACAGGGGTAATGTTGTAATTACATATTGTGCCTAGAGTTTACTCCTAGGGTTATGAATAGGTCTGTTAGTAACCCCAGGAGATATCTCTTATTTTTGTAAACCTTTTTTTGAATAGAGAAAGGAATCGTCGCTCTACTCCCTAGGACGTAGGCATCTTTGTTGAACCTCGTTAAATCTCTGTGTTCTTCTGGATTTGTCTTCTGGATTTGTGTTCGTTACTGTTTTTCTTCGCACTAATTTTCTTAACATTATCCTTCCTCCAGCCTTTCCCATCTTTCCCACATCGCTTTCTCTTGACCCCACTTACTGTCATCGCCCAGAACAACAAGATTTAAAATTTTCCTTTCCGCGGCTCCAATATAGTCGCCCAAAATTTCCCCTCCTACCTTCCTGCCTTGTTGTCCCCAGGTTTAGACATTCAACCATTTCGCCTGCTTCCCTCCAGCCCTGCTGCCGCCCCATACAGCTATTGGCTGCTGTCCTCTGTCAGTTTCCTTCCATATTTGCTGCCACCAGCCCCGAAACAGCCACCTGCTGTTTTATCCTCTTTCCTCTTGTTGCCACCACCTCCCAACACACCTAGCCAACACCACTCCACCCTAGATCCACCAGACTCATGTTGTGTGTCGTGTTGTCGCAATTTTAGATTTCCTGTTGTTTCGTTGTAATTTCGTATTTGAATTCAGCAACAATATTGGTTTTCCTATTATTGTTTGGTTAAACTTCGGTATCAATATATAGGGTATATATACTTCAGAGATAAGAAACAGCAGAAATCTCTCTTACAGGAGTTGATCCTTCTAAAACAGCTCTTGCCCTTGAAAATGACAAGTTTCCAGCCAAGAACGAACCACCTCTTTGAAAAACCTTTTGAGGGTGACATCCTTCAGCTGGCCATCTATGAACTGATGAATCAGTTGTTGCAACCCATATACCATCATCTTGCAAAGCTAGTTGCAGAAGTGGCTGCTCATTTGTAGATAACAAAATACTCTCTCTAGTGGACAAGTCTGTAAGGTATAACTGAGACAATAAGCAAAGCAAACAAAGGAACAAACAAGTTAGACCTGACAGCTTAAAATAAGGAACAGATTGTCCCATAACAGCAGGACAGATAAATACTCACACAAAGATCCCTCCCACCACTGTAAACATGAGAAAAGGATGGGGTGCTGGCAAGCGCCCAAACTGAATCCGTATGCACAGAATAAGAATGGACACAGCGTTGCTGACCAAGATCCCACAACCTATATCGATGCCAGAAATAAAAGCATCATCAGCGCATTCAAAGGAAAACCTTACATTCATTGAGAGAAAAAAAATTTAAGAGAGCGATATTCCAAAAAGATAACAAACTTGAGCCTTTTTCGGAGACTAGATTTGGAAGGAACATCACCATGGCATGCAAAGGAAAAATAAATTTTCCAAGCCATATTTTGCTAATATAGAAGTAATAACAATGAAATTCCAAAATAAGTACATGTTCAAATGTGATCCTTCTCGAAAGGCAATAATCATTTTGTAGTATGCTTGAGGAATTGGCAAAGAGAAAAACGGAAAGCAAGAGAAAGGGAGAGAAATTGGAGTAGAATAGTTACCGTATCATTGAATCAGATGATCCGGACAAGCAAAACCTGATAACATCACATGGTGTCAATTTTGTTAGAGGTCCAATAAATAAAATAAAATTCTATAAATTTCAGCAACGGTTTTATTATTAAAGGAGTAATTGAAGCATTGCATTTAGAATAAACTATGGAACAACAAGCACTCATTTTCCTCCAAATTCCTTTTTAAGCCCCTCTGAATCTTAACTAACTTGAAGTTGCATATGTTAAACATATATTTTCTCAGCAGAGTCATAAGGTTTTTGCACGCAACAATCAAGCATAAATACGAAGCAACAGCCATTCTGATAACAATCTACAAGAACAATTCAAAAATAATTTATAATCTGCAAAGTTATTATTCGTAAAACAATGACCACTTTTTCATGTCATCATTCATTTGTCAAATGGTCATATAGTTAGAACACTGTATAGAGAATGATACTTGAGATAGCCCAAATCATATTAAGGAAATTAAATTTTATTACTCAGAGCCAACAGGGTTACAATCAATACTAAACAAAAAAAATACAAAGAAAACCAAAGAAAACATCAGTATCCTGCAAGGGCTGGGTAGGACAAGCTGTGTCAGCGGTGAGAATGGATTAGGATAGATCTTGGTCGGCTGGATGAGTGTAGGGTGGGATTGCGGTACAGTAGAAAGGTGGGAGATGGATTAAGGCTCAGTCGGAGGTTGGCGGCACATTAGGAAGGCTGGAGGGAGGTGGCGGTAGAGCAGGAGGGCATGAGGTGGGATGTGGTCAAGTAGGATAGTTGTGGAAAGATTGGCGGCGCACGAAAGCCGGAGGGAGGTTGGTGACATAGCAGGAGGGCAGATGCAATGTGGACCAACAGGATGGTTGTGGGAAGGTTGGCGGAACATAAACAGAATTGGGAAGGAGCGCGGATAGGATGGTAGCGAGCGGGTGAAGGAGAAAAGGAATGATACACACCATCTTAGAATGAGTCACAAGTATGGCAACTTCTTGCCATCGGATACAACCCTTAGAAAGGAGGGGGGACTCCAGAGATTGTTCTGATAGAAATCTTATAGCAAAAACTAACGCTACACAGAGAAAAAAATTTATTTATAATAATATATAACTAGGAGCACTTAGAGGGCAAACCTAACACAAATAATTGGGTCGGCCCTCCCCCTCCCCTTGCTCCCTTCCCGGAACGGATCCAACTTTCCTAGTTGGATCAGTTGTCGGCTACGTAGCACTGAGACTTCTAAAAATGTGTCGTACTCCTGTCGAACACTTGTCGGACACGCCCTAACACTTGTCTGACATATTTCGACGCTTCTCCGTCACTACAAAATATATGTCTGAATTTTTTTCAGGCCTGAACACATCTGAGACACACCTCAATTGAGCTCAACACAATTTCAATAAAATGGGACACGAGAATTACACAATTATAAATATACGTACAGCCTTACTTGTACCTCAAAGTCAAACAGTCTCATCTCTCGTCATGTTGAAGCTTCCTCTAACATTCAACAAAATCAAGCGTCAAATGTGCATATAATATTCATCGAAACCAAGCATTAGTAATTCCCCCTTTGTAAGCATAGAATTTTTTTAAATTTTAGTAGAAAAGTTGAATACTTTCTTTTGAAACATATTATATCTAATTTTAAAAACTAATTTCATAAGCAAGAACTTTTATAATATAAATTAAATTTATGAATTTAAATTTTATTCTTGCATAACTTGTGTTGTCATAATTTAAATAAAGATTAATGAAAAATATAAATTTTACTTACTAATTAGTTAAATATAAAAACATATCTACAGTGTGTCGTGTCCTTTTTTTTTCAATGATGTCATGTCCATGCATCGTGTTGTATCGTGTCGTGTCTATGTGTTTGTGTCGTGCTTCCAGCAGAGCACTGCGTCAGTCTCTCTAAGTTGGGGGAGCTTTGACCTCATTCATCGAAGCTTCTGCTACACGTTGACGGTAAAGAAGTTGTTGTAAGCTCGCGGATCTGAAGGATCATCTACTGTCGTCCGAGAAGCAAATGGATCCCAACGACGACCGAATGTTCCCCAAAGCACATGAGGGTTTTCCCCACTTACAAGCATACATCTATATCTCACTCCAACCTTCTAGGGGTCCACTACGAAGCTGAGTCGGGTCCACGTGTCATGCATATACTGTTAAATCTTCCAAAAATAATCCAACGTCAACTTAACCTGATCCAAAGTGAGGGTAAACATCCCCGAATGAAGGTGGACATTGCATTGGTAAGGCATCAATCGTGATGTCCTTAAATGCTCTGTGTCATGACGATCCCATGTATGAAATCAGTGTCCCAGTCGTATGATCCTCTGCTGTCACTAAAATTGGTCCTACTGACACGGCTATACTGGTAATGGCACCTGTGATCTCAGGTGCTGCCTAAAGAAGAAGAATGATGTGCTTCGCCAACTTGAGGGAGTAGGTGTTTTTAAATTCGTCATGCTAAGTCCTACAGTTAAATTCTCACAGTCTCTCCAACAAAAGATGGTAGTCATTCATAGTACCACGTCATACCACACTTGATCCTGCAACAACAATAGCAAGCCTTTAAACCACTAAGTGAGGTCGGCTACATTAATCCTTTTTCTCCATTTCATTCTATTGAGTGTCATATTTTCATTCAAATCTAATAGATTAAGATCATTTTTATACAATATGCCCAAGTCTTTCTAGGTCTACCACTGTCTTTTTTAGCATAATTCGAATCAAGAGCTACTCTCAAAGCCGGAACATTAGATGGTCAATGTTTAATGTGACCAAACCATCTAAGACGACTCTCTCTAATTTTGTCCACCACAGGAGCTACACCAACTCTATCACAGATATATTCATTTCGCATTTTGTCTCTTAGTGTAAAGCCATTCATCCGCCTAAGCATTCTCATCTTGGCAACACTAACTTAATTTTATGTTTTTCTTTTAAAGGCCAACATTCAGCATCATGGTGCATTGCAGCTCACACTACCATCTTATAAAATTTTCCTTTCAGTAAAAGTGGTACTAGTCGACCACACAATAAGCCTGAAGCATTCCTCCACTTCAACCAACCAACTTGAATTCTATTAATAACATCCCCATCTATATCATCATAACTTTGAACAATAAACCTGAGATATCTAAAGCATTCACACCTTGTAATAATTTGATCACTCATAGTTACAACCCTATCACCAGAGCTACTACAACTAAAATTACATTACATGTATTAAGTATAGGTTCTACTCAAACGAAGGCCTTTACCAATGTAGAACCTGAGCTCTTTCTCTAGTCTTATCCACAACAAGGATGGCATCAATGAAAGACATACACCAAGGTACATCATCCTGTAAATGCCCAGTAAGAACATCCATAACTAAAGAAAAAAAATATGGGCTTAAAGCCAATCCCTGATATAATCCAACTAAAATAGGAAAATATTTGATCAATCCTCCTTCTATTCAAACACAAGTAACAGCTCCAGTATACATATCTTTAATGACTAGAGCATAAGTCATATAAACAACTTTCTTCTCTACAACACTAAAGAATATATCTCTAGGAACTTTATCGCAAGCTTTCTCTAAATCAATAAAAATCCTATGTAGATCTTCTTTATTCTCTCTGAACTTCTCCAACAAACCTCTCAATAAATGTATAGCTTCCATAGTAGTCCTGCATGGCATAAATCCAAACTGATTATGAGAAATCTTTGTAATACGTTAACATACGCTAAATTAACCTCTCCCATAATTTTAAAGAAAGACGCGTCAACTTAATTCCTCTATAATTTGCACTCTCTTTTATATCACCTTTATTCTTAAGAATGGGGAATAAATTACTCTTCCTCCACTCCTCAGGCATCATTTTAGTTTTTTAAATAATATAAAAGAGTTTAGTAGCCAAGAAACTCCCAAATCTCCTAAATATTTCAAGACTTCAATTGGGATATCAAAAGATCCTACAGAATGTCCACCCTTGGTTTGCTTTAAACTCTCCCGAACTTCTTTTTTACTAATAAGACGATAAAATGAAATATTTTATTATTATTAATGATAATAAGAATACTAAAATCGATCGTATTTTCAGAAACTTCATTAAAAAGTTCATCAAAATAACTCACCCAACTATGTTGAATATTTTTTTTCTAAAAAATGTACTTTTTTATTTTTATCTTTAATACACTTTACTTGAGTAAAATCTTTACTCTTCTTTTCATTTTGTTTGGCTAGTTTATGCATATATTTTTCACCCTATTCAATATCTAATCTATTATAAAAATTACTAAAATTAGAAATTTTAGGACACAGATTGTTCTCTTAAACTCCCTATGGATCATTTTATATTTTCACCAGTTCTCTCAGCTTTTACATTTAAATCACTTTTATAGCATAATTTTTTATATTTTATCTTTCTTGTACAATATTATTCCACTTCCAGTTATTTTTAATTAGTATTTTTATTTTCTTTTAGATTCTTCAAGTAGATTTTTCGTCACTTGTTTAATAGTGTTTGTTATATTATCCCACATAGAATTTCCTTCTTCGCGAACATCCCAAATTTTGAAATCTTAAAGTTTACTCATAAGTATAATTTTATTTGTCTTTATTTATATGAGAATGATTCCTAGTATTCTTTATTTTACAACTTTTTTTCTTAAAATTCAAAACTAATAATCAATGATAGATATTTAAAGTCTCAATTGAGATGACATTAAAGTCTAATAAGATTGTACCTTCTTTATTAATCACTCCAAAACTATAGCCACAATGAATATTTCTAAAATCTTTTACCTCTGCCGTCATGTCCATTTAAATCTCCTCCAATAAAAATTCATTCTTCAAGAGGTATCATTTGTATAACTACTTCTACATTACTCCAGAATTTTTCTTTGAAACCTATATCTAAACCTAAGTGAAGAGAATAAGCACTTATAATATTAAAAATTTTAATATCGACAACAATCTTAAGGGCTATAATTATATCTCCAATCCTATTAATTTTTACAACATTATCCTTCAAACTCTTATCTATAATTACACCTACATCATTTCTAGTGTGACTCTTACCTGAATACCAAATTTTAAAATCTAAGCTATCATTCTCTTTAGTTTTTTCTCCAACCCATTTAGTGTCTTGAGTACATCGATATTTATTTTTCTATGAATAATAATATAAGATAATTTCATTAATTTATTTGTGAGAGTACCTATATTGCAAGATCTTATCCTAATATTAGTTTCATGGACTACTTTTTTTACTCGCATTCTTCTGTAATGTGAGAACTCTTACTTATTTAATACTATATTCGAGCGTCGGTGTAGCGGCTCATGCACATTGTATTCAAGTCATACAGCGCGTCGCTTCCAAGGGACGCCCCAACATTTACACAATGACTAATTAGATTCAAGTCATGACTTTTCGACAAATTTTACATTGATTATCAACTACCTAACACAACCCTTCACTTTTCACATCTAGGTCTTGGGACACAACAATGGCAGTAATTCTGCAGTTATCTCCTAATCGAAAACTCCACTAGAAACCTCCTGTCAATGTTAACCCTATTCTCCTTCTTCAGCCACGTCAATGAATATGGTCGAGAATGTTTCTAAGTCATGAGACCAATTTCTTTGCCATCAGCGTACACACCAAGTTCTTGTTGCTCCCTCCATCAATAATGGGATAGTGTACCTTTTCGTTCACACTGCATATGTTATGGTGAAGCCATCGCAGATCCCTCACATACTCAGTCAGTTGTCGGACTCATCGAGCCACGAACATCTCACCCTCATCAGATGAAAAATGATATACCTCACCCTGTCCTTCAGTTGTCTTCTCCTCGCTAGTCACTTGCACTGTACCTTGCTCGCTAATAAACAACTTGACTCGTCAGGCAGCTGGAGGCTATGTGCACAAACCCATGACATTTGAAGCATTTTTTTCGAGGGGACTGTAGTAGATGTGTTACTCTTATCGGGCTTCTCACCCGGAATGGCTCTGTCCTTATCCAAACTTATTTTCTCAACTCCTTGAGACATGCTCTTGTTGTTGTCTCCACCTGTAGTTGGTTGTCTGAATGGTGGTAGTTGTCTGCTCTGCTTCTGTTGTCTTTCCACCTTAGGGGCAAAGATCTAGACATCTCTCAGTGACCAATAAAGTTGCAGCTACACAACGTTGTTAATAACGGGCTTCAAAATCTCAAATATCGGGCTACGAAATATTTGTCTGGCTCGACCAACTCACACTTCATCTCCAACTGGTCAAACTGCAATGTGAACTCCACTGATATGTCTCTCTGTTGTAGGTGGTTGTCTTGGAAACATATCCTGAAGGTAATGAGCGGGGTATTTTCTTTGCATCTCCTTCTTGATCTTCTCCCACCTAGTAATTTTATTGTTGTTCTCTCTTTCTCTGCCTCTGCAAGTTGTCCCAACATAAGGAAACCCTCTTTTTCAGTTTGATGGCTGCTAGTTTCACTAATTTGTCTTCTGACACTTATATAATAATAAATTCGTATGGATCAATACCTCCATAAAACTCAAGTAGATCCTCTTTGAGGCCAAAATCCTTGTGTCCTTCATGTGTCGTCTCATCTCTTATCCTCATCTGATACTAAATTTTGATGCGTCTGGACCTATATTCCTCATCACTAAAGTCTTTCCCATGGAAAGGAATTAGATCCTCATTCATTTCTCTCGTTCAACTCTTCATATCACAGTCGAGGGTAATCTCCCCTGGGTTACTTTAGTAATCTCTACAAGCCTCTATTGAAGAAGGCAGATATATCGTTCTATCTCGTCCTAAGTAGGTTTTGGAATGTATCTCCTTGGTAAGTTTGTTAGGGTTTGGGGATTGGAAGAGGTGGTTGAGGATAGAAAAAAAAATTTAGTGGCTAGGAAAACCTAGAATGGGACTAAAGTTTGGCTAGCTCTGATACCAATTGATACCACGTATAACCCAAACTACAATAAGGAAAGCAGATTTTATTAGTTAAAACCAGCGGGGTTACAATCAAAACTCAAAACAGTTAGAAAAGACAACAAAATATTAGTATCCCGCTAGGGCTGGGTAGGACAAGTCATGGCCAGCAATGAGAATGGACTGGGATAGGTGGCGTTTGGTTGGATGGGTGTAGAGTGGGATTGTGGTACAGCAAGAAGTTGTTAGATGGGTGTCGCCCGGCCAAAGGTTGTGGGAAGGTTTGCAGCAAGGTAGGAAGGCTGGAGGGAGGTGGTAGTACAGCAGAAGGGCGGAAATTGGGCAGAAGGTGGGTTGTGGTTGGGTAGGATGGTTGTCGGAAAGTTGGAGGCACAGCAGGAATGTTGTAGGGAGGGTGGCAGCATAGTAGGAGGGCAAGAGATGCTCTGCAGTTCAACGGGATGGCTATGGTAAAGTTAGCAACGCAAAAACAAGGAAGAGAAGGAGAGCAGGTGGGATGGCAATGAGCAGGCGAAGGGGATAAGGAAGGATACACACCACCTCGGAACAAGTTACAACCGGAGTACCTTCTCGCCATCAGATACAGCCCTATAAGAGAGAGGGAGGGATGTCAAAGACTGTCCTAACAGAAATCTAAAAACAAAAAACTAACTCTAAACAAAGACATAAACATATTTATAATAATAAATAGATAGGAGCACTTTAGCGATAACCCTAACCCAAATAATTGGGACAGTCGACCCACTTGCCCCCTCCCTGAACCGGCCCACCTATCCCAGTTGGATCAACCGTCGATTCAATAAAGCCCTGGGTCAGATAAACTGTGTAGAAAACTGATTCGAAGTTCTAAAACTTTGGAAACACTATAAGCAAATAGGACATAACTTTATAAACAGGTAATTGCAGATTTCATATAATTATAAATGATGTCTATTTAGAGAAAAAAAAATCCTCTTAGTTCCAATACTGCAACTAGACATGTTTCTGCAACATTCAATTATTAAATTATAATGTCTAGCTTCCATCAGGACGCAATAGAAACCAATAAAGCTCATCTTAGTTAACCATAGGTGAGCCATCTACTCAAGAAGACGGCTGACTAAAAGCACTAAATGTAAGCAAAAAAAATGCTAAATTCCATTGTTAGAAATATTAAAAACGAGCCGATCAATGCTTTACACAGAAAGCTGAAGTATTACAAAAAAAATAATAATAAGTATAAAAGGTATAAAAGGTATAAAAACAGAATGTCAACTGACCTTCCAGTAGAATCAAGCAACAAAGCTCGAATATTATCAGTATGCCCTCTTAGCTTCATATTCTTTGAACCGGTTCTGGGGTCCCAAACACGAATGGCCTAAAGGAGAAAACAGTTTAAATGAGGAAAGGAAGACTAAGGCATAAATAAAATGAAAAAAAAACTTGTGCGTCTTCTCTACAACAGTTGACATGAAGTGAAGAGACCGCATTATAAGGAAACAAAATGTACCTTCTCAGTACCGCCAGAAACAAGTAAAGTTCCACTATCATTCATCGCTAGGGCATACACAGACTCTTTATGGCCTTTGGCTGCCGTAGGATTGTAACCATGCGACTGTGCATTATTCACAGACATGTTGCTTGATGTAATAGAACGCAAACTTGTCATAGGAAGCCCATAATTTCCTGATGTCATCAGTTTACTGGAGCCTTCATCATCCATAATATCAGTAGATTTGGTAACCGGAAGAACTGCTGCTTCAATGTCCCATATAAAGACCTCCCCACCAAGTCCCCCAGAGGCAACAACATTGCTCTAAAATACATGAAACTACAGAAAGATAAAAATCTATAGAACCAGATGAATGTGCAAGGAGAAAAAATACGCAACCCCACCTCAACATAGGGGTAAAGAAGATGAAAACTAGACAAAACAGAAACAAAATAAAAATAAAAAAGAATCACAGATTTAAAGCTATTTTCAAATTGTGAAAGAATTACATTTTTTTCAACCGCAGCAAGGCAAGTAACATAATCGGAATGTTGACGAAGAGTTCTGGTACAAACGCCATCTGACAAAGTATTCCAGACCTGCAACCTAATAAATATTAATACAACTCACAGTCATGATGGCAAGAAGTACCATCTTCGGTGGAAGCAAAAACCTTGACAGTTGTGTCTGAGGAACATGAAACTAGGGTGTTACCAGCAAGAACTGCATCATTAACCTGCATCACAAGAAATTTTGGTCAAAGCAAGTTTGATGCAATCATTGGGTGTTACTAGCAAGAATTGTACCATTACCCTACATCAGAAATTTAGACTGTCAATGTAAATTTGCCATTATTATGTAATAAGGGAACAATAAAAGGAAACTAGCCAAAAACATAAAAAATCATAAACCTAATGTTTGCAATAGTTTTGAACTTATATCTGTGCTGCCTTATGTTCACATATTTTCCTCCAACAGTAATTTTTTCTATTCATCTAACAAGTGCATTTTTCACACTTCGTTGCCCATGACCAAACAAACCAAATTTACTTTAAAGTTATTTATATTCACCATATCTTAATCCAACTTTTTCTCAAATTTGTTAATTTATCAATCCAACTTTGACACAAATTCCTCATTAACATTTTATTTCAGACACACTCAGCTTCGCTAAATAATGAATTTTTAAACGATTCACTAACAACATCACCTACTTAACCATATTTTATAAAATTAATACCCTTATCACAAAACGCTCTTATCCATTATAACCAACTAGTCTTACCTCTAAAAGCTACAAAACCAAATAAACATATAATTATTCAACAAGAAAATGGTTACACAATAAAATTTATGCAATACATTACATTTGAAATAACGACATAAAACCACAAACTCAAATGATTATTTCAATTTAAAAGAGTAAATTACCTTATAAAATTTGTTTCTGGAATATTATGATAAGGACACAAGATTATCTATATTGAAAAACATAGCGATCAGAAAGAACAGAGAAAACTCACAAACAGATTAACAGAACTCCTGAAAAAAAATAGACAATTTTGATAGAACCAAAATTTGAAAGAGATATTACGGACTAAATATATTAATAAATCGTAGTGGAAAAATCACTAAATAAACTGAAAAATGAAAGATGATGTATGAAAAACTGGGAATGACCCCAAGACATACAAAAAAAAAAAAAAGAGAAAATCTGAGAGAATACATTTTTAATCTACCTTAGATGACAAAAAATAACCACAATCCATGTTTCAAGATCATACCCAATCAACATGCGACTCATATGTTGCAATGAAGCTAGCATCATCATCAGCTATGGCCCACCTTTTCAATGTTCCATCTCTACTTCCAGTAAAAAGATAGTCACAGCTACTAGATGAAGTCTTCAAAACAGTCAAGCAGTTAATGCCTGCACAATGCTGCAAACTCCAGAAATTTAAGTGATCTAGTATCACCAAGGAATAAATCAATGGCAAACATGAGTTTGATGCAAAAACATAATAATATTGCACACGAGCCCACACCCCCATAAAAAGAAAAAGGAAGAAAAAACGAACCTTGGTGTCATCAGTATCCTTCAAAACATATGTTAACCGTTTCTCCTTCCGCGGCCGAGTTGAATTAGATGTGTTACCAGAACTAGCCACCCGATGCATCGCAAAAGTTCCTATTGCATAGACAAAAGAACTACATATATAAGCTTCCATTGTTTTTACAAGAAAATCTAAGTTATAACATAATACAAAAAGGCATAGCAAGTATTGAGAGAATTAAAAACCAACACAAATAAAATTGTTATTGATCAATAATTATAATAGCCATAACCTAAAAAAAGTGTTCCCATGACCACGGAACACTCTTAAAATATGTATGGAAGATGGTAATTCTACACCGAGTAATATCAAGCTAAGTGTAGCACTAACACATCTAGGAAAGACCTACTAAGTCATCATTACCACCACCAACGTCTTGCAAAGATTCATAGATGAACTCAATTCAGGGAATTTGTTCGATTTACTTCATTTGAACCAATAAGAAAATATAAAGACTCATAATAGGACATCATGTGCATAGTACCGCTGTTGATCACAATTAAAGCAACTTTTGAAGTTGGCTTCGAACCAAAAGTACCTGAAACAGGTTTAGGGACCATTTGGGGCACAGCTGAAGCTGTCTATGTCAATTGTGAAACCGTTGTAGAAATGATATTGTTTGATGACAATGTTATTTGGAAAATCTAACCAATATGTTGAGATGTTGTTGCATGTGATCAAAAAAACATATAAATCCATTTCAAAAAAAAAAAAAGAGAGCAGACAAATCAATTATTAATCATAGTAACATATCACATAATCATTTTGGACTAACAGACAAATTAATGAATACTTATAGTAAAATATCACGTAATTACTTAATCAACCAAGATCAACAAAAAAGCATAAAAGTAAATGAAATTAAAATCTCTATATAGATAAACTTTTTATTTTAGGGGCATTTACATGCATACCACCCAATTCTTACATATGTACATATCTAACACCTAAACTTTACTTTTTACATTTATACCACCCAAATCTTTCACATCACATAAAAATACCACCATTTATACTTTTAAAAAGTGAGATGCATCTTTTTACATAAGGTAGGCATGTATGTAAAAATTGATGTTTCACTCTTAGATATGTAAATGAATAGGAATTTAGTGGTGTGTATTTAAATCTTCCTTTATTTTATTCTAAAATACAAAAACTTTCTAAACCAAATACATATCTTCATTAGCATATCCATCAAATGAATTTGAACACCACCACAATAATTAGGTTTCCCTCACAATTGAGTTTACATCTACCAAACTACCAAAAATGTTTAATTAAAAAAAAAAAGAAAGCATTGCCTCTAAATATGGGGTGCCCTAACCACTCAAACAGCTATCCCATCATGTTATCCATTGAGTGTACTCTAAATAATCCTTCTTTTGCAAGATTATTACGAATATAATCGTTAAAAGCTAATTTTTTTGGGAATTTTATGCCAAGCTTCCAAAAAGCTCAGATTTCTGGTTAGACCAACCCAAACAATTCATGCAACAAAAAATTCATGAACAATCACTCTCTTGCATTTGCTATCAGCAACTTCACCTCAAGAGGACTAACCCTCATCCACTTCATCCTGGAAACTATGAGCACCATCCCACCACATTTGACTGCAACTTGAGGTCCAACAGAACCGCTGGACTAGGCCTCTTTTGGAACAAAAACATGAGAAGTAAAAAAACTATTTGTTCATCTCACTAATCAGTATTAGCAGATTGAAACGTCTTCTGCTTACAGCTTCAAAATCGACATGTCTCAATCGCATCTTAAAACACAAATTGCAAAAAAGGACTTAGGCATGTAAATTGATCATAATGATCCATAAATGTCATAAAAGATATGCATATTTTTTGTCATCCTTAAAATTAAAAACAGAAAAAAAAAAGAGAAACAAAAAGGGCCATTGAAAGTTATGAAATTTTGAAAATTGCCCAAAAATGCTGAATGCACGATCGAAAAGCTAAGTTCCAAGCAAAGGCGTTGTCAAGTAAGGTTACCATAAAGTTCTCCTAACAAAACTTAGTAACAATTTACCCACATCAAATATAATTGGTAAAGTGCGCCACTTCACAAGTTGAAAATATTGTGCTTCTCATATTTGAGAGTGAAAAGCTTCTCGCAATAGTAGCTTTTAGGAATCACTATTAAGGTAACATCTTCTTTCACATATCAACTTCTAAAGAAGTTATAAAACTAGACAAGTTTAATGTAGAATCTTTGCAACATCATAATGATCCAAAAGTTCATCAAAATTATTCATGTCATTAACAATTAGCATAAAACATTGTCTCAAAATAGGCAATTCCTCCACCAATTGCCCATGAAAGGTGATGGGAAAATATTTTTTCGCATAACATCATTCTCACAACAACTAGATGCCAGCTCCCGACAAGCTACACTTTGCTCTCTCTCTCTCTCTCTCTCTCTCTCTCTCTCTCACACACACACACACACACACACATACAGCACTGATTCAATGGATTTTTGTATACCTAATGAGCTTAAAAGATAATTTTACATGTATACAAATAAAACATATGAATCTATTGTTAAACGACCATAACTTTATAGCACTCTTATACACAAATATTTTTCTTATTATTGTTGCAACTTAGCCAACACTAATTATAAAACTTAAACCTCAAATGAGTTGGCTAAACCTAATGATAACGCGCAAAAATTAAGAGAAAAGGGGGCTAAAAGGAAGACTTGAGGGGAGACAAAAAGAAAAAGAACAAAAAACAAAGTTAAAAGACAAGGGAAAACAGCAACAACAATTTGAAAGAAAACAAATCAAGAAACCAAATCTCATCCAATAATTAAATTAACAAAACCCTCCTTCATTATCTGCTCGTATAAAGAGAGCCATGGCTCATCTAAAGAAAGACTCAAGGGGAGAGAGAAAAAAAGGAAGTATGGAAAATAAATAAAGAGACAAGAAAGGGAAGTCAGCAGCTGGATTTGAAAAAAAATCAAAAATCAAATTTCAACAAATCATCAAGTAACCAAAAAGCTATGTAAAAGACTAATTTTTTCTATTAGAAACTAGGTTGAACCGGTTGCGTCAGTTCAAAAGAACCAACAAGCTGGTTCCGCTAATTAAAAAACAAAGGGAAGGCAGACAGAATTCATCCCTAGCGAAACTAAGAGCATTGCATGGGGGTGTAAAATAGGTAGCAGCAAGCAAGACAAATGATAGGTGAGTAAGAAGTGCCAATTGAGCAACGAGCAGCATGTATGGCCCAAGTGGCTATGAGCACAGTTTGTAGGAGACAAATGCATATGAGTGTCACTTGAGCAAAGACAAACAGTGTGTGTGATTCGAACACAGCATGCATAAAAAATGCAGATGACACCAAGAGCGAGAGACAAAGTCACATGAAAGGAGAAAGAACCATGTCTGGGTGGCTTGGAGATATAGTGCAAACGCTGCCAATGTGTTGTGTGAACGTCAAGTAATGTGCTCGGGACAATAAAGGAGGCAACAAACAGAGAAGGAAACGACAGTAATTGTTTGATTTTATCTTAAATTCAGAAATAGTTATTTTATTTTAAATTTTATTGAGCATTAATGATAATTTTTACAAAATAATGTTGGAAATCAAAATTTGAAAAGTATATAAATAAGAAAGTTGAAAGGGATCATTAATTGAGCAAAGGAAGAGGTTCCATGAGGTATGTAGTTAGGGTAATGAGGCGGTAATCCCACGCAAGGAGGGTCAGTCGAACCTCAAAGTTATGTTCTGATAAGGTCCACACCACAAAAGCAGACTCGCGTCCAATCCAAACGAAGGATATGTCCCCGTCCTTCTACTTCAGTGCCAGTCTCTCGGGTTGAGAGGAGCTTTGACCTCAACATCTAAGCATCTATCTCCTTATAGTATGGTGTCAGGTCGGCCACGTTGAAGGTGTTGGAGCTACTGTAACTTTCCGGTAAGTCAATCTTGTAAGCGTTGTCATTCCAAATCACATCATGAAAAAATATGTATCCATCCTCATTTGGCACACCCTGAGCTGAAGCTGCATATAGTCATACATTCTCATAAAGTAACTATCGGGTCATTAATTATGTAATTCGTCTCTTCCACTCCTAATACACGACTGGGAGCACCCGATAAACAAATTTGTCTGGAGGAACTAACTCTGAGATGAAATTCGTGGTATGTTAAATAGCTCTCAATAACAACCACTAAAGAGAGGCCCCTTCTTCTCCAGAAGGACCTGAATCTCATTATATGATGTTCTTTCCCGCAAAGCCACTAAGATGAATTCTAACGTTGTGGTTCATTTTGTCGGTGGGTACATAGTTGAACTGAATTTAATACTGAAATGACTCAATATACTCATCCAAAAGTAGCTCAAAAGCTTCTTATCTCTAACATGTTGGACCTCCCTCAGTAGAGGCAACTCATAAGGTAGACTATATATTTAAAAATTCTAAAATTATTTTATATGGGGTTGGCATGTGTCTTGTTTTGGTTTCTCGAACTTATGACCCACTTGAACAATCCATGTTACGTTTGTTGGAGTCTCTCTCATGGGTTCGGATTAATAAGTCATCTATCTCTCGTCAGTGGAAGCTAGCACTCCTTCTCTAGGTTCTTGTCTTCTTCAGTGTCTATTGTGTCATCATCCATTTCTTCAATAGCTCCCTAATTAGCGAAATAGAGCATAATCTTGTTCGAGCAATCTGATACATTGTGTCCAAAACCATAGCACTTGACGCACTTTATGGTTGAGACATTTAATAATGTTGCTTGTCCCCCACCTATTTCCCACTCTAAATTAGTTTATCCTCGGTCAGTTTGGATGCTCGATTGGGTGTACAGTGTACTCTTGTTGTTTGATCCTGGAAATGAACTCTGCATATATGATGTGGCGATCACCGGTATTTGTTGCCTCAAGATCATGTCTTGATTGTAATGAATTGGTCGGTACCTGTGTTGCATCTCTCGTTTAATCTCGGACCAAATAGTAATTTTTTTTTCCATCACATAGGTATAGTTGCTTCAAATTTTCCTATCATAGTAATGCACTCTCCTTTAACTTAATGACGATTAGCATTACCATTATG